TTGCTTTCTCACTTCCACTTTCCCTATGTACACTACTAACCCACGCACACAAACACACACACACACACACACACACACACACACATATATATATAAATTACATATATATGTGTGTGTGTATGCTTATCTACTTACCTATATATATGCTCTTCCCGTCTATTTGCCTCTTTCTCATTTCCCGTTTCTATCTTACCGTTCAATCATTGTTTACGCGAGTTCCCTCCTCAGACACTCCATATACACACCTCTAAACACACATCACGAATCGGCAGTCTCTGCACGTATATTGGGCAATCGTTGCCAATCTTTATCCTTGCCACATGTCTTCTCCACATAAATCTTTCTTCACGTATGTTATCCACTTTCTCTTCTGTGTCTTTGTTTGTGGTGTGGTTTTGCCATTGCTGTTCCGGTTCGATGTTGTTATAGATCGTTCGCTGAGAATGTGATTTAATCAACACATGCGTACACACACACACACACACACACACACACACACACACACACACACACACACACACACACACACACACACACACACACACACACACACACACTGTATGACACACACACGTACATACACACACACACACGTACACACACACACACACACACACACACACACACACACACACACACACACACACACACACACACACACACACACACACACACACACACACATATAAATGTGTGTGTGTGTGTATGTGTGTGCGTGCGTATAGATAGATAGATAGATGTAGATATAGATATATGTTTACATACATATGCATATACATATACCGTCATTTTGGTTGATTAGTATATTCAGAAGCAAATGATCATTTAGATAATAGTCTAAATTGACGTTCATTATAAATTGCAAAAACTGATAGCGTTAATTAGGACGTTTTACTTAGTTATTAGGATTTATATGAATTATGTTTTTTTTTTCTTTTTTTTTTTTTACAATCAAACATTTTTTGCGCATTTCACATAAAATTACACAATTTAGTACCTGTTTATTTGCAAGCGTTGCCATAAATATGATGTGAAATTCCACGTCACTTTGCATCATATTTTAGTTTAAACAAACTTCTTCCTCTCTCTCTCTCTCTCTCTCTCTCTCTCTCTCTCTCTCTCTCTCTCTCTCTCTCTCTCTCTCCCTCCCTCCCTCTCTCTCTCTCTCTCTCTCTCTCTCTCTCTCTCTCTCTCTCTCTCTCTCTCTCTATCACACACACACACACACACACACACACACACACACACACACACACACACACACACACACACACACACACACACACACACACACACACACATACACAAATATACACACACGCGCGTTCTCAAAAAAAGTAGATTCTCCAATTATGTTCATTTTACCCAAGAATCCATAAATACATCACACATAACAAAAAGAAAATCTCCAATTTTCTTCGGGAAAGAAAATGTATACCGTTTCCATGACAACAAGTTAATTCTGTGCAAATCAATACGGAATTTATATGAGCTGAAAATCCCTCAGAAAAGAATCCTATATTGACAATATATTTGGGATTCCCCCGGGAGTTGCATTTTATTGGCCGTGGGTCCCGATCCCAACCTACTTCAGGATCCTTGTACAAATGCAACGCAAATATGCAAATGCTCTTTAATCTATTACTCTAAGAATAGGGTATGTAAAATGGGGCAAGTCAGTTCACCGCTCTCGATTTAGCGCTTTGAATTTCCCCCGACAAGTGAAAAGTTTCCTTGTCTTTATGTAGATTGGGGAATATGTAAATATATCACCCATTTCGTCCCTTCCCTTCTTTATCAAGTCTTCTTCATTCCCGAATTCACGTGTTTATATCGCACACACATTCTTATGAACTGTGTGTCCGGAATTCGTCGCTATTTTTTAGATAAACAAACAAACAAAAAAAGGATGAAAAAAAATAACTTCAAAACCTCTACGAAGTCTCGAGGAAAAAATATACAAATATATTTCTAAGAATATTTCGGTCGAGTTGAGCTCCAGTCCTGCGTGATTTAAAATGACGTGTGGTTGTGCGTCGCTCCCAGGCAGTTATGGTGCATTAATTTTCTATAGGTTAAACCTTCACCACATGAGAAGAAAATTCCATCAACATGCGTAGATTCTGAAGTTTGTTTAACTGCTGCCGTTAAACATATGTATCCATTTGCGTCTCTCTTATTCACAGAAATACACAGAAACAGACTCACACACACGCACTATATATATATATATATATATATATATATATATATATATATATATATATATATATATATATATATATATATATATGTGTGTGTGTGTGTGTGTGTGTGTGTATGTGTGTGCGTGCAAAAAAAATTGGTAGTCTTGGTAAACTACAAATTTTCTGTATATTGGCAAGTTTAATCATCTTCAAAATCATGATTTAATCATCTCCAATATCACGACCCTTATTATCACTATCTTTACCAATATCTTAATTATCAATCTTTAGCATAAACATGATTATCATCCTCTAGGTTAGTAGAAACATTCTGAGCGGTTAGAAATTTGAAATTATAATGATAACATAGATAAAGTATATTTAATGTGCTAATACATACACATTTAGGAATCCGATGCTAAAAAAAAAAATGCAACGGAAACAGAGAAGAAACCGATGAGGAAAAGAAAACCTTTCTTCTTCTTTTTCTGTTTTTTTGTTTTTCTTTTTTTTTCTTTTTTTTTAGACATATAAAAAAACAACGAAATGAACATGAACTATAACAGAATTAGTTACGTAAAAACAATGTAACACAATGTTGACAGATTAATTTAGAGAAAATGCTCGGCGGTGGAAGGAGCGAAGCCGCCAGCGGGCCAGACCCCAGTTTGAGGGAAAAAAAGGTAATATGTCTGCGTCAACAAAATAGAAGTATCCAAACTTGGCTGATTACATGAGACTTTCCTGTCTTGTTGGATGAGGGGTAACAGAAGGAGAGTGAGAAATAGGATCAGGAAAAAAAGGTATGTATAAAAAATATATATGTATCCTATAATGAGAGTTGGAGCTGCGGCGAAGTGTAATGGAAAGAGAGTTAGTATTCAGCAAAACCGGAGGACGAATGACAGGTTTAGAAGTGGTAAAAAAAAAGAAGAGGAAAAAAAGGAAGAAAAAAGTTTGCTATTGGGGACGGGCAGGGGGGGGGGTACAAAGGGGGATCTCTACGGTGAGGCAGGAGGGGGGAGAGGGAGCGAGACGTTACAGCCGTGAGAGTGTTTCACTCCACAACAACTATGGGTTCTTGCTATTTTAAAGGGTTTAAAATCGTTACAAAGTGATGGATGATGGTGTTCCTTTCAAAGTAGTATTGAGGGTTCGATTATCCTCCTATTCAGAAGAAGACGTCATTGAAGAAAACAAACAAACAAACACAATTTGTATTGCGTTTGGATGTTATTGATTTTGGGATACAGCCTTTTCTCCCCTTGTTTTCTTACTCCTTCCTTTTCTTTCCCTCTCCTTCTTTCCTTTCCTTTTAACACCACATCAGTGAAACTATATGTCCACTTTTTTCACCGAAAATCCCCCAAAAGAAAATGTAGAATAAAATCCCCCGATTTGACAAAAGCTAAAATGTTATAAACTTAATGGATTCTCCGAGAATCTCTTCGGTTCGAATAGAAACCCATGCTAACCAACCATCAACCAGATTAGATAGAATGGTAAATAGGCCTAAGGAAGGAAAATGTAACACACACAAAAATCCCGAAGGCGATTCAAAAAGAAGGCGGCGAGGAGTGTGCAGGGAACCTTGTGAGACCCCTAATGAAAAACGGGAAGAAAAAACTTTGTCATCAGCTCAAGTGCTCTCCATCCCCTCTCCCCCCTTTCTCCTCTCTCTCTCTTCTCCCCTTCCCCCCCCCCCCTCTCTCTCTCTCTCCCCTGCTACCCTCTCTCTCTCCTCCTTCTCACCCTCCTCCCCCCCCCCTCCCAGCTCACGTCTTCACTGCCCGGACAGAGTTGCCTGATAAAGTGTTCGAAGAAGGTGGCTTTTTTTTTTTTTTTTTTTTTTTTTTTTTTTTTTTTTTTTTTTTTTTTTTTTACTGTTTTCTTAACATTAACTGGTGTATAGTGTTGATCTCTGCAAACAGATTTCCTTGGGCAAATCTGAAACCACAACACACAAGTTTGCGTTAACTGAATTCATTCTCACGTTCTTTTTACTGCTATTACTATTTTTTCCCATAGAAGAGCAGAAAGGGATATAAAAGGAGAAGAAAACGCCACAACAAAGACCTCTCCATCCGCACCCTAGCTCATTTAAAGAACATGTAACAAGTTTTAAACAATAATCTTGGCGATGAATTTTTCCAGCTTCTTGTGTCGGAAACCCGCGCCTTCTTTAAAAGAGGTGAGATCCAAGCCTTCGACCAAGGTCATCCTGCTTTCAGCCCTTCCCTTCCCTTCCAGTCACGGCCGCTGCGCTTTCTGCACAAAGTCTCCTTTCTCGTAGATCTGTAAAGAGAGACCCCGTAGCCATACAAACCTATGTCTACAATAAATGCTTTTACCTCTACTACCTACTCTCCCATGCTCATTCTCTGTGCAAACACTCGCAAGTACAACAGTATATTTACGTCTTCCATAGCAAACAATCCACCCGTTACCTTCCAGCGCTTAAAGTGATAGTTATATGTATCAACACGGCATTTCCACGCAGGCAAATACGGGGCCTAACAAGCTGGACGGAGAAGACGAGACTTTAACATTTATTTTTTCTTACATGCTGAATGGATTCATTCGAATATTCGTCTGTTATTTTGTCGTCCTTACCAATATCACTTCTCAGGACTCGCCTACTTATACATTTATCATTGTTTCACCGAAAGCCTTATGTGTTAGGGGAAAGGGAGGGTTTGGCTTCGCTTTGCATCATTCATGCTTCTTTCTGGTATGTGAAGCCCTCGCGTGGCACTGAAGCCAGGCACGGCGTTCCTCGCTCACTGACTCCATACATAAATCACACACGGCAAAATGTCTCCCGGCCCATTATCTCCCCCGCCTCCCAGAGGGCTCACACAAACCGCTTACGCCGTATTGATTAAACACCTATTAGGTATATCAGCGTAACATGGAAAACTCCCAGCAGAAAACCGGGATGGCAGCCTGGATCCAATTTTGATCAAGTGGATAGAGTCGGGGTTTTGCTTAAATTGGGTAGTTCTTTACGTGAACACCTATGGGAGGGCGATGGGGGAAGGGAAAATAGGGGGGTACAGCGGAGCAAGAAGGAAATAGGGGGGGGAGGGGGATATCTGAAAAAAATAGGATGCTGTGAAAACAAAGATTGGGGAAAATGTAGTCAGAAAATAGTATTCTAAACAGCAAAAAGGGTTAGTTGTGAGTCAGAATCAGAATCCTCACCATCAACCTCCTCATAAACCAACAGACTCCTTATAACCCCACATCCTCGTAGCCCCACTGCTTTCTCATAACCCCACCTAACCCTCATAACCCCGCAGTGTCCTCATAACTTCACATCATCCTCATAGGCCTACCTGATCCAGCATCCCCATAACCCCACAGCATCCCCATACCCCCACAGCATCCTCATAACTCCCAGCATCCCCATACCCCACAGCATCCGCATAACCCACAGTATCCCCATACCCCCACAGCATCCCCATACCCCACAGCATCCGCATAACCCACAGTATCCCCATACCCCCACAGCATCCTCATACCCCCACAGCATCCCCATAACCCCACAGCATCCTCATACCCCCACAGCATCCCCATAACCCCACAGCATCCCCATACCCCCACAGCATCCCCATAACCCCACAGCATCCTCATACCCCCACAGCATCCCCATAACCCCACAGCATCCCCATACCCCCACAGCATCCCCATACCCCCACAGCATCCCCATAACCCCACAGCATCCTCATACCCCCACAGCATCCCCATAACCCCACAGCATCCCCATACCCCCACAGCATCCCCATAACCCCACAGCATCCCCATAACCCCACAGCATCCTCATACCCTCACAGCATCCCCATAACCCCACAGCATCCCCATAACCCCACAGCATCCCCATACCCCCACAGCATCCCCATACCCCCACAGCATCCCCATACCCCCACAGCATCCCCATACCCCCACAGCATCCTCATAACCCCGCAGAGCCGCAAGATAAAAGTGAGGTCTATGTGCCACATTGTGCGAGCGGTAAGCGACGCGTGATGGGATCCCTCGTGGGATATTGATCATGTAATGTGTATTACTGTTGGCAGTTTGACGGGCCAGTTATAACGCCGCGTTTCGGAAGTCATCAGGCCTTATTCCTCATCCTGGCTTTATTAAGGCTTGCGGTTCACTTTCCTTTCTCTCTTCTCTCTCTCTCTCTCTCTCTCTCTCTCTCTCTCTCTCTCTCTCTCTCTCTCTCTCTCTCTCTCTCTCTCTCTCTCTCTCTCTCTCTCTCTCTCTCTCTCTCTCTCTCTCTCTCTCTCTCTCTCTCTCTCTCTCTCTCTCCGTGTCTTTTTCTTCTTGCTTTTTTGTTTCGTTTTTCATTTTCTTTCTTTCTTTCTTTCTGTTCTCTGTTCGTATTTTTTTCTTGTTCTTTCTCACTTGATACAGGTGTCTCTTACTCTCACTTTTTCTCCCTCTTTTTATCCTCTCTCTCTCTCTCTCTCTCTCTCTCTCTCTCTCTCTCTCTCTCTCTCTCTCTCTCTCTCTCTCTCTCTCTCTCTCTCTCTCTCTCTCTCTCTCCCTCCCTCTTTTTATCCCCTCTTTCTCTCTCTCTCTCTCTCTCTCTCTCTCTCTCTCTCTCTCTCTCTCTCTCTCTCTCTCTCTCTCTCTCTCTCTCTCTCTCTCTCTCTCTCTCTCTCTTCTCTCTCTCTCTCTCTCTGCAATTTGTTGTTTACTCTTTCTCAAAGTTAATCGTGTTTGCCTCTCTCTCTCTCTCTGACGTTGATTGGTTCTTTATCCCGTTATTGATTTTTTCCCCGCCTTTTCCCCGTAAAATTTACCTTTTCGATGTCTTTTTTTCGATATTTCTGTTCATCTATTCCTTTTTTTCAACGTGTTTTAGCCCTCTCCCTTACCCTCTGGCATCCGTCTCTTCACCCTGACGCCTGCCCTTATACTGTGGTGTCTGTCCCCCAAACCTGAAGTCAGTTTCCCGTCTCCCCTCGTCCCGCGACTTTTGAAATCTGTCAACCATGTGTAATGTTTTGTAACTTTTTCTGTACAAGTGTCCGCGTGTGTGTTTGGATGTCTGTGTGTGCAGGAGGGAGCGAGAGGGGAGTCTGTGTGGTGTGAGCGTGTGTATGTGTACGTGTATTTGTGTTTGTGTGCGCGTGTGTGTGTGTCTGTGTCTGTGCGTGCGCATATGCGTGCGTGTGTTTGTCCGTTCAAATGTGTGTGCGTGTGTTTGTGTTCCCGTGTGTGCGTGGCTCATACATCCGTGTCCAGGTATGTATGGGCAAAAAGGAAAAGTTTGTTTTGTGGTTTAGGAGACGTTACTTTATGTAATGGATATGTGAGACGCTGCGTTGCGTGGAGAAGAGGGGAAACCCTTTTTCGGTGGTAGCGAGAGGGTCACGGCATAGTACAGTAGGGGAGATGATGCTGTGCAGTACCGCAGAGGGAAAAGTGGTATCGTGAGGGGGTACAGAAGAGAATCACGATAACGCATGCTAAGAGAAGAGGACCGAAAAGGAAAGACGATACTGTATCCCACAAGAAAAGCATCGAGAAAGGAAAATCCATAAGAGAAAAGGAAAGATCTAGTATTATTCACAGTAGTAGAAAACGGGAGACGCGTGTTTGAGGTACAAAGTAGAAGAAAATGGAATACCTGTTTTTTGTTTACTTTGTGAAAGAGAAATAGAAGAAACCAGCGCATTGGTTTGTTTGAAGGAAATGCAAAAAGAAAACGGGTTACAGTTTGTGTTTACAGAGAAAGAGAATAAAACGGGGAAGCAGAAGAAAACGGGATAAGTGTTGTGTTTGGAAGAGAAAAGACTGTGTAATGCTGGGCCGGGGAGAGGCGCCGTGCTGTGTGGAAGGGAAGAGAGAAGCTGTGTTGGTGCCAGGCGGGGCGATGCGAGACTGGAATCATTCAGGCTATGATGTGTTGATGGAGGTAATGCCTCGGGCTTCCCTCACCTCGTCCATCACGCTATATGTATCCGGAGAGAAGGTTGAGAGTGAGGGAGGAAGGGAGGGAGAAAGAGGGAGAGGGAGAATGATAAAAGAGAGGGAGAGAGAGAGAGGAGGAGGAGGAGGAAAAATGAACGCCATGCAAAGACAACAGAAAGAAAGACCGTGAGGGAAGAATGGAGGAAGACAGAGAAAGAGAGAGAGACAGACACACACACAGACAGAGATAGTCAGAAAGACAGACAGAGACAAAAGAAGAATTCAAAAAAAAGAGAAAGAAAGAGAAAAAGAAGAATGAACGCCGTGCCATGAAAAAAGAAAGATGGGGTTGACCGTGATGGACGGAGGGAGGGAGAGAGAAGGAGAAAGAGAAAGAGAGTGAGTGCGAATTATTTATATAAAAAAAGAAGGAGAGAGAGAGAGAGAGAGAGAGAGAGAGAGAGAGAGAGAGAGAGAGAGAGAGAGAGAGAGAGAGAGAGAGAGAGAGAGAAAGAGAGAGAGAGAGAGGAAAAAGGAAGAAGAATGAACGCCACGCAAAGAAGCAGGAGAGATGGAGAATTGTGAACAAAGACGAGAACAATATCCACGGGTTAGAAGACATGTAATAAAGAGCACGTAGAAGAAGGGGGAAGAGGGGACGAGGTGGATTTCAGTGCGAGGGAGAAGGAATAATAAACTTGTGGAGGGATATGTTCAAATTAACTAATTTGGAGAGGGGAAAAAAGAAAAGAAAAAAAAAATGTAGGGTGGTTTCGTACGGAAGGGAGTGGAAATAGAGAGAGGGGAATTAAAGAACAGAGAATGACCAAGGAATGGAAAGAGGTACAATGTGAAAGAGGGTGAGAGATGGCGATACAAGACGAGACGGGAAATAATTTTGAATGTAAGGGATCGTCCATCTGTCGAGGAGTGATGTAATTCATTTCTTATGCTTAAGTTGGAGAGGAAATACGGTAGAGATTACTTCGCTTTTGATATCACACTGATGAAGGTAATATCCATACGGAACGATTTTTACTGCTACTTTTATGTCCACCATGAAATAGATGCATAAATAAATAAATGATTAGAAAAATTAAAATAACTTTTGGTGTGTACAGAAAGCGACTATGCTGCTAGCCGAGGTCAAGTCTGGTTCCGTTTCGCAATAATATTCATGTAATAAGATTTGGTTGTCAAAGGCTGTTCAAGCTTTGTAGAAACAACGAGACCGGCTTTTTCGCTCACATGGGAAAAAGGCCGTTTCGTTTTTGTTTTTCCTTCTTATATATATCCATAACCGTAGGATAATCTTGGAAAAATGAGTTTTCTATTTCCTCATGCGTGAACACGAGCGCAACAGCTTTTATTGTCTCTTTTTTCTTAATATAAATTATTCAGGTATGACTATAAAGGACGTATATATTGGAATACTACGGCGTACTACCAGCACCGAACATTTTGCTTAGTATACGTTAGATACGAATCAGACGTAAATAATATGCAAATGGAATAACTTTACCGATCAAAATTGTGTCTAATTTAAATTCAAGCTATTTCCCCCAACCACGTAAAACCTCAAATGATTTATTTTTCCTGTGGGTCAGACTGGACCGAAATATTTTAGAATTCAGCGGACGAAACCATACATGTTTTTCGCTCTGGGTATTCCGTGTCATTCATTAGATGATATGTAACATTACATGATCATATTCGCTTAATGAATGTAGATTTATTTTGAAGATATAAAAGCATGATTCCAAACTTTTTTTTCCTTTTTTTTTTCTTTTTTTTGGCATTATTATTCATACATCTCGTCAACAGGTTAGACTGTACATGGCTTTGCATTTGTGACCAGATAGACGCTATGGTATTTTCTGTTTTGT